GCATGACTAGCAACCACAACCACAAGCACACACACACACACACACACACACACACACACACACACACACACACACACACACACACACACACACACACACACACACACACACACACACACACCTTTAACCCAATTTCACCTCAACTCTACTTTTTTACATTAAATCTTGTCCCTAAGTTCGGTTGAAACTGCACTATGCATGTTTATACCTGAAAGCTAGTATTCACTAGTGAATAATAACCATCTCATATGCACCAAGCACTAACTTAAACCTTTTGCTTTTACATCCGTATTGTGTGTAATTAACACATTATAAATTAACACAGAAATTCCCTCCAACTCCGATCCAATTCGATAGCAAAAGAACACAAACAGATAAGGCCGTCTTCCTATGTCAAACGCCAGATGTCATCGTTGCAATGTTACTTTGTTAAGTATGATTTGAATTAAGTAATGACTGAAGCTGATTTTAGTGGTATATAAGAACACAATTCATGACCTGTAAACTAATTAAAGAATTTAGTGTACCATTAATTGTCCATCGGCTGATGGTTGACACATCACTTGATTCACGAAGCTCGTCACACACAATAAGTTTGTTCGTTTGTTTTTTAACGACAAACTCGGCAATATACCAGTTGTATGAACGTTGGAATTAGTGTAATTACAAGAAAGTCAGAAGAGCAGATCCTTGTATTAAACCTTATTAACTAACTCCTTTGAGAGGCACTTAGAAGTTGGAGTACTAAGTAATTCTAATAAAGAAGTTGTCCATCCATATATCTTATCCTTACTTCGTTAACTAATGGGATGTAAACTAATGGTAGTCCATTAAATTCTTAATGTGTCATACGTTAATGGCTGCATTAATAACGACCATTCACTCTCATTAACTAATGGTACTTTAGGTGTATGTTTTTCCTTAACGTATCATTAAATGTTGGTTTTCCTTTTTAATGTCCCAACAATTCCTCATCAGCAAATTAAATAATCATCTTCTCCATCCAGCCAGTTTGCATCAGTAGTACGGAGTAGATCTGGTAGGGGTGATTTATCTTTGAGATTCACAAATACCTTTGAGTACAGCTTTAACAGAAATAATGGAAAGTTAAGAAAAATGTTTCATAAATGAGAATTAAAGCCTAAAAAATATATTTTAATTCGGCTCCCCCTTTCGAAACCTGTGATTGTGGGTCCGAATCCTAGTTTGCCCCAAATATGTTTCTAGGTTTGTCAGCATCCCACCCGTGCTTGACCCGGGTTTGACCAAACTAGTAGACGTCTGAGACCTGCATCCCATATTAAGCTGACACGCCTTGATATAACTGGAATACTGTTTAAAGCGGCGATAAAGCCAACTCACTCACTCAAAATAAAAGTACGTGTTTTGAAACCGTGACCGCAACAGAATCCTTTCTCTACCTCATAGCATGACAGCCAAAAAAGAAATATCGATAACCCGCAACGACATTGCAATAACACGAGACGACATGACGATAACACAACACGACATGGCGATGTGGCGATAACGAGATAGGGCGATAAAGCGATATGGCGTTATGGTCATGAGACACGGTGATATTGTTAGTATGTTCATTTCCGGGTTATTCCGATTGTTGGAAATACGAAGTATTGCGAATGTCAGGCCGGAAGTAGCATGGTCGGGTATCCCTAAAAGATGGCAGCCCGCATGTGTTGTGATCGAGTCCCGGTGTATCGTCAGGCGTAATAAAGCCTCTGCAAATCAAGACAACTGAAATGTGTCTTTATCATTGGTCCAACGAGGTTGGAAACTTGGTGTCAGAAGTGGGATCACGCAATCTATAGAAGCGGAGGTAGGCCAGATTGTTTCAAACTCGAATCAACTACGAGCACATGCAATGGCGGGACTTCCGAAGCGACCTGAGCTCAAGCTTTCGGGGAATGTGTCTGAAAACTTCAAGAACTTTGAAGTTAGGTTCAATGACTATTGTATTCAGGCGGATTACAGAAATCTAGATAAAAACCCAAATACTGAACAAATAGACTACTACAAGAAGCCAAAATTGGAAATATCGTCGCTAAGGTCGGCGATGCCAGATGAAGCACTACAGGTCGTGAGATACACTATAGAACCTCAAATAGTAGAAGAAGATAGGAATTAACCATGGGTATGGATGGAAAAGTTACGTATCTTCTACAAAGGAACCCTCGGTAGTTCACTGATGACAGATAGATTCAGATTTTGGAATACTAATCAGCTACCACACGAAACAGTACACGAATGGGAGGTCAAGGTCAGACAATCAGGTAGCTTGTGTGCCTATGCAGCAGTAGGAGATGACATGTGTCGTGACAAATTTGTATTTGGTCTGCATGACAGCAACATTAGAACTGAACTTTTAAAGACACACTTGAAATCAGACAATAGTAAAAAGTGAATCTGCACAGAAGGCAAATAAACTTATTGATGAATAATCCAAGAATATTAATGGGTACACTGGACTCGTCACAAAGAAATGAAGCTGAAGAGAGAGCCAGGTACATGCCATTGGTGTGGAGATCGACAAGGCCCTCATCCATGGAAGGTGTGCCCAGCAAAAGGAAAAGACTGTGTGAGATATGGGTTAAATGACCATTTTGCCAGGGTATGTTTGCAAAATCCTGTCAACCCAACTTCTTATCCAAGACGGGGGCAACAACAACGTAGAGGGAACCAGGGTCGTGGTAGGAGAAACACAGGGTACGTAAGGGACACAAACCAGCGTGAAAACCAGGACAAGGAAAGTCGAGGTACAAGCAAAAGTCACCAGTCAACTCATCAATTAGATGCACAATGCCACGACACTGATGACTATGAACAGGGGGATGAGTACCAGATATACTCACTTGAAACTCAGCAGGCATATAATGTAACCACAAACAAAATGGGCAAGAAATACTTTGTCTACCTCTCAACATCAACATCAGGAAACACGTTTACGCCAGTAAAGTACCAGATAGATTCTGCAGCCACGTGTAATACCATTTCCGATCAGACTGTTAGAGATATGTTTCCAGAGGCAACTATTCAAAGATCCCCGTTCATATTGCATCCTTATGGTGATGCAAAGCCCCTTCACCCGTTGGGAAACTTTTGACATTTCAAGTACTTCCCCATGATCAGTTGAAAGGAAAGCCAGCTTTACTTTCTGGCCAAGACAGTGAAAATCTTGGACTGATAAAGATTGAAGCTGATGAGGTATTTACTTTGACTTCTAAAGTACATGATGTTGCAGATGTTACAGATGGTGGAGACTTTCAGGCACGCAGACCAGACTGCGGTTCATCAAATCTTCAAGACTCAAATGAATCCATGTGCATGGAGGAAAAGAAACAAATGGAAATTACAGATCCAAGTAGTCTATGTGCATGCAATCATCTTGAGACTATACACAGCAAGGTGCCTTGACAATGCACTATGCAACCTCCAGCACCATCAGAGCCTATTGTAGTACCAAGGAAAAGGATGTTACCTCCACCTGGTCAACTCACTAAGCACAACGTGCTGAAGGAATACCCAGAAAAGTTTGAAGGGGTGGGGTCCCTGGGACCCTGGGACCAGTTCATTTCAAGGTGAAAACTGATGTTGTTCCCATACAGATGCCAATACACAGAGTTCCTGTAGCGAAAAGGGAAAAGGAAAAGAGTGCAATTGATACATATGTAGAAGCTGGTATACTAGCAAAGGTGGATGAGCCAACACCATGGTGCTCAAATGTTCTAATTAGAGAAACTCCAAAAAAGTTCAGGGTATGCATAGATCCCAGTCAAACTGTGAACAAAGCCATCCTTCGACCAATATGTCAAATCCCGACACCCAATGAACAGCTTCACAAATTATGCAACGCCAAGTGTTTTTCACTGGTAGATGTCCGTGATGGTTTTCTTCATATTCCTTTGGGTGAAGAATCATCTTTCATGACTACGATGCACACGTCTTATGGCAGGTATAGATGGCTACGCCTGCCATTTGGAATTACAAGTGCACCTGAGGAGTTCCAAATAAGACTATCTGCTGCACTAGAAGGTCTAGATGGAACCATATCAATGACAGATGACATACTCATATACGGTGAAGGAAACACATATGAGGAGGCAGAACAGGATCATGATCGACGCTTTATAGCGTTAATGGAAAGATGCTTGACAAAAAATATCAAGTGCCAACCTTCTAAACTGAAGTTCAAAATGAAGGAACTGAAATTTGTCGGCAACAAAATTACCGACAAAGGAATGAAAGTGGACCCAGACAAGGTTGCTTCGGTCACAGAAATGCCTCCTCAACGCAACAAGGCTGGGCTCCTGAGATTCATAGGGATGGTCAACTACTTATCACCCTTCTGTGAAAATCTGAGTGCAACAATTCGCCCTCTCACAATGCTCACACAGGAAGGTGTACCATTCTCTTGGGCGTCAACACAAGAAACTGCATTCAATCAGGCCAAACAACTTATATCAACAGCACCTGTGCTAAGTTATTATGACCTGCAAAAGAATGTGGTATTGCAAGTGGATGCTAGTGAGGAACGTCTTGGGGGTGCCTTACTTCAGCCTGATGCTAATGGAAAACTTCACCCAGCGGCATTCACATCATGCAGCATGAATGCGACAGAACAGAGATATTCCCAAATTGAGAAGTTTGACCAGTGGCTGTATGGAAAGGCAGACATTGAAGTACATACTGATCATCAGACACTGGAAACAATCATGAAGAAGCCACTGAACAAGGCCCCTGCAAGGCTACAAAGAATGTTGTTAAAACTACAACGCTATCACTTCATTGTCAAGTACAGAAAAGGGACATCACTTCATCTTGCAGACACACTGTCATGAGCAGCACTACCAACTCCAATCAATGCCAAGGTGACAGGGTATGAAGTATTCCGTCTGGAACTAGAACACGAATATGATGAGCACAATCCACATCTCCATGAAGAAACTGAGACCAGACTCCGAGAGGAAACTGCGAAAGATCCATTGATGTCTCAGTTGTACACGCTGATAGGTCATGGATGGCCAGATGACAGAAACCTACTGGATCCAGCTTTGGCCTCCTACTGGGGCTATAGAGATGAACTTAGCATCAGCAATGGGATCATATGCAAAGGTTCACTTGTGATGATCCCAAAGAGCATGTACAGAGAGATGCTGGAAAAGATACACTTGAATCACTTTGGAGCTGAATCAAACATACGAATGGCTCGAGAGGTCCTCTTTTGGCCTGGGATGAGGAACTCTATTCATGATATGTGCAGTGCGTGTGGAACATGTGCACAGTATGGAAATGAAGCACCCAGAGAACCCATGAAGTCTTTGCCAATACCCACCATGTCCTGGCAAATTATAAGTCAAGATTTATTTGCCTTTGAGAAAAAGACTTACCTTGTCACAGTTTGTCACTTCTCTGACTGGATTGAGCTTGACGAATTGGAAGACACTCTCTCCGCTACAGTGATAGCCAGAACAAAGGCTCATTTCTCTCGCTATGGGATTCCGAGTGTGTGTCATACAGACAATGGACCTCAGTTCATCAGCAAAGAATATGAAGACTTTGCTCAGCAGTATCACTTCAGGCACACAACGTCTTCACCATATCATCCACAAGGAAACGGAAAGGCTGAGTCAGCTGTCAAAGTGGCAAAAGCTATGATGAAGAAATCTGATGATAAAGAACTTGCATTCTTGAACTACAGAAATTCTCCTCAAAAGGGACATACCTATTCACCTGCACAGCGCATGATGAATCGTCGCACAAGGACTTTGCTGCCGACACCAAATCAACTTCTGCAGCCCCAGGTAGTGGATCCCGAAATAGTTTATAGAGAGATCAGGGGCAAAGGAATCTCTAGCAAGACTCAGTACGATGGATCGTCTGGTACAGAGCATGAACCAATAGAAACTGGCAGCTATGTGTATGCTAAACCTCCACCAAACCAGAGAGGAAAACCTTGGGCATATGGGCAAGTCATCGACAAGGACAATACAAGGTCTTATACAATAAAGAAGAGACTTGCTCAGTAAAACGTCCACTCAGGGAAAAACAATTGCCTTTAAGATACAATGACTATGTAATGCTTGAGTGAATTGATGTAATAATTGTCAACATGGACTTGCATGAATTACTGTCGTGAACTTTGAGGCAAGACTATAAGATGCGGTTGCATATACAGACAGTGCCTGTGTGAACTAAGCAGATACATTTAACTATAAAGCCTCTGCAAATCAAGACAACTGAACTGTGTCTTTATCATTGGTCCAACGAGGTTGGAAACTATATTGCGACATGGCGATACTGCGCTAAAAAGCGATACGAGTATCCTCTGCACGTCCAAACCGGGTTCTAACGTTAACGGAATTTTCGACCATAATGCATTAGGGGCGGGTCACGTGCCCGTGACCCCCTTTGGAAATTGGAAATATGTGTTGTAGATATATGGAAAGCTCTTGGAAATGTGCATTCGACAGATTCGCTAATATATATCAAATCCACCAAAATAATGAGTTTATTGCCATTTGAAGTAATGAAAATATCTATTTTTTCTGTCTAACTGTCTGTCAGTAACCCCTTATACTTCAAGACCAATGTCGAACACCCCTAACAGTGGTATCTGCGGAAAGAGCAAACCCTGGGCAATAATCCCGATACTGACAAATAAAAGACAGAGGGTTGATGGGACAAAAACTCTAAAAAAATGAGTCCGCGCGTATACAGGCATACTTTTAAGCTGGCCGAAGTGTGCGCAGAACGTTTCCCCAAGTCCCAAGTTTGAGATCCTAAGGGCATTACCTCTCTGACTGCATACTAAAAACTAGTAATTTGAAGGGATTTTGGGTATTTCCGATACGTCTCTAATTCCCCCAAAATATTTCTTGTAACCCCACGCTGTCCCCAGGATATCTTCATTTGTTATTTCTGCGCAGACTCGTGTGTGTGTAACTCAGTGTCCTAAACATCAGCAACGACCATCTACTTCATAAGACGGTGTCTTTTGGTGACTGTTTAACTGCGACGTCATGCTACGACTAACTAAAGCACAACGGAACAGCGGCTGCTGATAGCAGCAGTGTTACAAACCTCAATGTAAAAATAACTATTTTTAACATTTAGGGTTTAATCTTGTACATATCTCTGCTACTTTCACATTTTTCATTGTTTTAGTTCGGTTTACTATAATAATTCGTATTTTTTCCCTTCACCTCTGCGTTTCCTCAGTAACTTCAAATAGTGTAGCCATGAAACTGGTGTATGTGCACTGTACCTATCGTATTCCAGCAACATCTCAACAACGACCAACTGGCCTTTCTTGACAGTTTTTTCTGTTAGTGAATATTACTAACATGTCATTCAGCCGAGGACGGTCGGGTAGCCTAGTGGTTAAAGCGTTCGCTCGTCACGCCGAAGACCCGGGTTCGATTCCCGACAGGGGTACAATGTGTGAAGCCCATTTCTGGTGTACCCCGCCGTGATATTGCTGGAATATTGCTAAAAGCGGCGTAAAACCACACTCACTCATTCAGACGATGTTATAAAGCGTGGTACATGTACCACAAAGTTTGTTATCGTGATCGGCAATAAAATTGCGAATAATCCTTGTATATTCCGCGGATAATCCGCGGGTAAGTTGCGAATAATCCGCAGATTCATAGGACTATATCACGCCGTCAATGCGTGGCTGGCCATGGCAACCCTCTCTATATATGATGCTACACTGTAAATGAACTACAGGTATTGTTTGAATAATTAACACCGGTTTGTAAAATATTCCTGTCATTATAATAGTGTCCTTTAATATGTGTCTTTTTGGCATATGAATATTTGATTTATGATCAACTTGCATTGTGTCTCTGGTCTCGTACAAATCTAGATGTATGTGTACTTGCATATGTTGAATACCACTGTGAGAATGGCTGTATCACAGTTGATGTATGTACTTGGGTATAAATACACATAAAGAGAGACATCATAATTGGCGTGGCCACACAGTTAACGTTGATAACAATACGAAGGGCATTACTTACTTCCACAAAGCTGATAGTTTGTACGGATTTCATTAAGGCACAAGGGGGCACGGGTGGCCCAGTCGTCTAAGGCGCCGCGATTCGCTGTGCAGAGTTGCGTCCCTTGGGCACACCAGAAACCTATGATTGTGGGTTCGAATCCCGGTTCGCCCCGATTATGTTTCTAGGTTTGTCAGCACCATACCCGTGCTCGTGGGTTTCACCGAAGTGGTAAACGTCTGTGACCTGCATCACTTCGGGCTTTCCTCCCACATTAAGCTGACACACCGCGATATAACTGGAATACTGTTGAAAGCGGCGTTAAACCCAACTCACTCACTCACTCGCTCATTAAGGCACATATACTTCAATATGACAGCTAAAGTTCTTGTACAAGTTTGTGATTAAGTACATCCGTTGTCCTGAATGCATCCATGTAGTTTCCTACACCTCGACATACCCGTTTTATGGTATGTTTGGTCACGTGTGCTAGTATCATTACTAATTAAATAGTTCTAAATAATTTTAAACCAGGGTCAAATTAAACAATAAAGAAAGAAAATATGATATATGGTACCAGGGCATATTAATATTAAAGTTGGTATATTAAATCGTATAGTATTACAGTATTGCACTATATCGCTAATACCAGTATCACGTGACATATTTCACATATTGTCTATCAAGCTGACAAGAAAATATGATAATTGGTACCAGGGTCATATTGATATTAAAGTTGGTATATTAAATCGTATAGTATAACAGTATTGCACTATATCGCTGGCACCAGTATCACGTGACATATTTCACATATTGTCTATCAAGCTGTATGCAAGGGTCAGATAAATAATCGTTGTGGTTTTCTTTTGATATTAAACAACATATCCAATATATGCCTTCGTGAGTGTGCTGGGTAGTAGTTGAAACATTTTTTTGTCACGTTACAATTCGGATTAATGTCCCATATGAGTACAACGTGAACCTGATATCCCGTGCATCGATCTCATCGATTGTTAGAGAAACAATAATTGTTAACATGGTAACAGGACTGACATAGTTTCCATATTTTGTGTTATTAAATTATCACAATAAGGACATCATTGATTATTAAGGTGTCATTTTGCTTAACATTGTTATTCAGAAGTTACTGTGTGTAGTGAGTCAATAGAAAAGTTATTTTACAAAAGTCAATTTGTTGTTTTTGCTAAGTTGAAATTCTGACATTTCTGACAAGAATGACCCCTAGACGTACACCCTCGATACATTGCTGGCATATTTCCTAAGGCGACGTATATCCATATCATGACCCTCAAGCCAATATACCTGTGTGATGATTAAAGATAAATGTGTGTGTAGATATTGAGTGTTAGTATATGATAATTAATGAAGCAGGTTTGATTGTTCTGACGTTTGGCAATTACGTACGATTAAAACAATATCTATTTCCAAAAGGAATGAGATTGGTGAACAGGCAAAGCCTATTTGAACACCTCTCCCGACAAAGACATTAAACAATTAATAAAAGTAAACTGTACTTAAAGTATGAAATTTAGGTTAACTGTACCTACTGTTGCAAATATTATCATGATTCAAATATACAAGTCACACATAATTCACACATGCATATACTGCTGCATAGCCAATTCATCTGGGTCCAATACACTTCAAACTGTCTAACTTATGAAAATGCCAGATGTTACATGAACAGGTGTAAAGATTTTAGCAATTATAAAACTGACTGTATTACTGGATCGTGTTTGATATTGATCAGACAACACATTTAGCCAAGGACTGGAGGTAAGCTTATGTTGTGATGTTATGGTATTCCCCTTCTTATAATCGGGATCCAAGACAAATAATGGATAACTTGTACAACTCAAAATAGACATTTTCAGCTCTTACCGTGATTATGTTTAAGTGTTGGGTGAGTTAAAATACAACGTCCCTTCGGCAATCTTTCAGCCATACAGTAACGAGACGTTTTACATTAATAATAAATATATTTACCCATTTTTAAGCTTTGAACGGAAAACAGATTTTCGGTGTTGAACGTCGTTTTTTCCCGTATATGGTCATTGGATGAAAAAACGACGTTTTTGACGCTTTCTAACCATCGGCTTTCCGTCCAAATAACGTCATTATTTGACATCGGAATTTACTGCGAGAGAACGATGTTATCAATTTCCTCTCTTTCTTGACTGAAACAGCGTTTACCGGTATTTCTATTTCTCAGCTTCCATTGGTCAGCTTTCGCGTGTCGGATTACAGGCTGGAGTTTGATGCTGATGGTGATGCTCCGGAGCTGATGCTCGTAGCTGTTACAGGAACTGCTAACTTCTACCGTTCTGCGCATGCGGATTGTTTAATACCTTGCTCTAATTTGCTGTTCTGTGCTGCACGCTTTCGCGATTGTTTCCATCAGGTACTTGATGTAACACGTCGCAACTGTTCGAAGCTGTCACGAGCTTTTCTCATTAAATAACGTAATGATAACGTTGAGATTTTTAGTCAAAATAATTAGGAAAGGGCAAAGCTCAGGAATGGCTTAAATATAGAAAATAGATATTACTTTCGCAGTCAAATATAACCAACAAATACGCAAACTAATATGAAACTGAAACTGAGTAACTTGCCGAAAAACACACCTTATCTTTAAGGTGATTGATATGGAATATTACGCTAGATGTTTACTGCTATGCCAGTCAATAAGTGAATTTAATGGCATTACATAGAAATATTCAATGTTTATGTTGTTTGCGCCGGTGCTGCTGGTGCTCCTACCGCTGTTCCTGTGTGCCTGGTCATCGAGGATGCTGTGTCCGCCGAAGCTCCTCGCGTTGCAGATGTCGTGTCCTTAGCGGTGCCCACTGCTACTAATATGAGAGACCCACCCCCATTCGGGAAATGCTACAGATGCTGGGGCTCTGATCATTGGGCCCCTAACTGCCCCGGCACCAAGTGTTACAGGTGTGGTGCAAATGGACACTATACGCCAGAGGCTGTATCAAGCCGCCAATGGCCATGCCATAATCTAAGGAGAGTGAGCCCAGTGCCAACAACGACAGTATTGGTGCGTCGGAGGATTCTACCAAACACAAGAGGAAAACCAGGGAGACGAGAGGATGAATTGGATGGTGAAATGGGGATACCCCTAGAGATGTGTGCAAATTGTTGTGCAAAAAAACCCGGCCGATGACGGCACGATCACACGATCCTTGGCTCGCATTACAGAAAATTAAAGAGTATTATTGGCCTGGGAGACGTTTTAGTTTGAGTGGAGATGCGGAAGATAGAGCTGAAACCATTGGCGTGGTGGCTCCCATGTCACGACTACCCACCGATGCTTATGAAAACTGCCCTCCGGATAGTGCTCATTGGGTAGTGGTGGCTAGGACTCCTGCTTCAGAGGGTTTCAGCCCTAAGCCATCTCTTGTTTGAAGACGCATACTCAGATGGTGAGAGATATACCGGGTATAGCTACGTCACAACATGGCGGATACAATCGGACACACACACACAGTCTTGGAGTAGTGTTTTATCAGGACATACATAAATAGAAAATTATGTTTGTTAGTGTTGACGAGCCCGGCACAACACGACGATCACCGTTAGAATACGAAACCACATTTATGATCGCCATGTTGTGACGTCACAAGTAGAATGTGTTGTATGACGTCACACACACATGCCTAGGGAATGATCACGCGATGTTACATACGTGTTCGACGCTGCTATGACGTCACACAACACGACCACCGACCCAAAATGGCGATCACCCAAGGGACAATTCCCCCAAACTCAACATGTACCCTTAGGATCCTTGAGAATATAAAGAAAACATTTCTCATTTGACTTTAAATTTCATTAGATTGTGTTCAAATGCGAAATAAATTTCTTTCTAGAAACATTAATATGTTACAATATTAACGGAAGTTGTATTAATAACATCCATGTTTATGAGATTACCCGACTAGAGGAAATAGGTTGACGTCATTAAAACAGATGTTATATAATATCGATTAGCATGGCTAATATGAGCTTGCCATGAACATATGGCTCATTGTGAGGACAGGCTTCGCACGGATGGGTCGGTTGGAGAACTGTTGAGGGTTTGTTGAGGGCAGATAACTTCATGGTACGGATTCATTTATTATTTCTCTTTTAACCACAATCGATGGTACATGAGCAATAGCATAACATATGATATACAGAATGTGAATCAATGACTACATGTTTAGTTAATGCGACTTCAGATTGTATTCTGCATATATGACTATCTAGTTAACTCTGTATTTACAAATGCTAGGAACCTACCAAGTTGCTTTAAGTATTTACATTTAGGAGTACAATACAAGCGTTTTAGATTCGAAATGTTTGGGCAGTATTGATTATCGATATGTGTTATTCTTTGTTTTCTAAAAGCCTCATGATCACAACGAAATAAATGATGTGACCATTTGTGACGAGCTGAGTGTAGACTCGTGTCCCTCTCGAAGGTTTCCACATTGGCGTATGAACACGAGTACTACTTCAAACAGGAACGATAAATCTCATTCTACCCGCGTCTAATAGTAAAATTAATGTTGGCAGCAGGAAGTCTTGAGTGAATATCGTGACACGAAAGCAACTGTTAAATGCATTGTGTTGCTGTGGGCTAGGTATTTGCCCACAGCAACACCAACATAACTGATTATTCACGCGTGGTGTTGCAGATTGTCATTGAATGAGAGCAGGTATTGTAGATTCACCTGTAAATAAAGCCGACACTGTAATGAGATACAACGTACAAATGAGAATATGGGAATTATCATAAGAAGGCTGTTTTTTCTGAACTGTTCCCATTTTCCTACCAAAAGTGGCAATGCATTTAAAAGTTACATAATATTCACTCAAGTCTTCCTCAATCGACTTCAAACATAATTCCCATTGGTCATTTGGACACCGCATATAATATAATAAATATTTCGAGATTTGAGATATTCAGCCAGACGTTATCCAATGAAAGACGAATGCGGTTTTTTTCATACAATACGCGCATGTCTACCTGAACATCGCACACCTTGTGTCTCTTATGTGCCCAGTGTGATTAATGGAACGTATATGGAACTTTTGGGCGAGAATATTTTCCTTTGCTCAAAACTCATGTTTTTTCTTTAACAAATACATAGAGGTTTGTCTACAAGCTTCATGACACATGATTCAACACATTTTAACTTAATGTAACTAATTTGTAGCGTTAGTAAAATATTTCGCCTATGGGTGAAAAGGTTTAGCTCATGGGCAGGCCCATGGCGATAATATTTTCCTTTGCTCAAAACTCATGTTTTTCATTAACAAATACATAGAGGTTTGTCTACAAGCATCATGACACATGATTCAACACATTTTAACATAATTCAACAGATTTGTGGAGTTGTTAAAATATTTCGCCCGGGCAGGCCCATATGAGCATAGTTTAAATTTTGAGTTTTCGAAAGATTTATTTACATTTGTTCTTACTTTTAATGTTCAATTTTGTAAATACCTTTGGCTGGCGACTGGCGACAGCAAGGAGAGTTTCTGGACAAGTGGGTTTCCAAAATTAAAATGGGACGTCTTATATATGTAACAGGTAACTTTTAATTGCTAATGTCTTGGTATACCATCAAAAGTGATGTTTACACTGAATGTATTTCATGAAAGCCAAAACAAGCGATGGCTCAAATGAACGCATGTCGCAGTCAAGGGAGCCGATTCCTGAATGTAAACAAACACATGTGAAGATTTGATGAATCTCTCAAATATCATGACCCTACAAGTAACAACATCATTGAATATAACACAATTTTGTCCTCAGTGTACACAGCCGTGTCGAACAGACAATCTACGTTTTTCCACATGGCATAAACAAAAGCGTATTACCAAAATTAATTTAAATACTCAGGATTATATTGATCGAAGTACCCGTATCCTGACGCGCTTTCTGATTGGCTTGCGCCGTTTCAAAGCATGGCGGCAGGAGTTTATGACCGTACCCTAGAAGCCGGAAGTGGCTCTGTGCATGCGCAAGATGGTGGCACTTCCGGTTCCGTGGAGGGCGGGCGCATCCAAGATGGCGTCACTTTCGGTTCCGGGAGGGCGTGCGCCTCCAAGATGGCGGCAGTTCTGGTTCCGGGGAGGGGCGTGTGACACGCCCTCCCGGAACCGGAAGTGATGCCATCATCGATGCGCACGCCCTCTCCGGAACGGAAGTGCAGCTATCTTGCGCATGCGCAGAACCAGGCTACCAGGGTACTGTCCTCTACTACTGGCGGCCTTCGAGAGGGAGACGAGCCTTGTTGTAAGTAACGGAAACATGCGAGTGGTGGCGAATGCAATGCCTGGTGAGTTACATAATTTACAGAAGCGATCTTTTGTTCCATCTTCCGGTCTCAATGGGTGGGTTATGGTTTGATGTTCTTAATTTTAGTAGTGGGTATGATACTGATTTTGGTAGCAAAAGCTACTTTTCAAAACTAGGTATATGTTTAAACATTTGTAGTAAAGTCATTGTAGCATATTGCGGCTAAAATACGATCAAATTAATCTTTCATTGTTCTTTCTACAGCTGCTACAATCCAGTCTCTTATTAAAATGTCGGGGTGGATAAAATACGGCAGTTAGACCACCAGAGTTCAATTTATCTTCAACAGCGAGAGAGGGGAGACTTCGAGATAAAAGCTATTTAAGAAGTATAAATGGATTTATTTGTGACTACCACAGAATTAGAGAACGGAATTATGTCGAATGCAATTCCCTATTTTGACTTGTACAACATGCTCCCGTGCGAGGGAAATTTCATCTTGAAAGGGGCGCCGCTCATTGGTGGCTGGAAAGCAAATGCAAAATGCCGTGAATGAATGTATTGACTAGAATCCCAGGTACATGGGGTATATGTGGTGCTGAATCACCAGCAGTATTTACAGGGGGCAAACATGTAAATTTTATCACAGTGGACAGAGTTGGTCTTCGACTGGCTGTGGTGTAAAAGTCACTCACTCACTTGTGTGGGGAATTGAATGTTCATCCTCTTTGTTATTGATGAACAAATGATATTTTTTAAGGATTTATAATAGTGAAATAATAACTACAGCTTTATGTGAGCTGTAGCTATGTTGGAATGATATTAAATCATCCGATTAAACAGTTAAAACAGTTACAATTTGCAGATGTGTTGTTGTTTAACAAACACACATATTCAATTGAGGCTGGAGAGTAGCATGTTCTTCGCTATTTAAAAGATAGTATATACATACGCCACAGTGAGATTAATGTTTGCGTACTATACAGGTTGTGACTAACGATTAGTCTCTGAAAATGTATTATTTTGATAAAAACAAACAAGTATATTTAAATTGAAAAGGAACCCCAGTGAGAGGGGAGATTCAGACATTGGGACAAGCTAAACTTGCTTAATTGAGAACTATTGCATTACAGTAAGGGCTGGGCGGAAGGGCTAAACATATGGTTGGGGACTCTGAGACAGTGAGCATGTATCACCAGAACTCGCGAACGTTATTATCCTGTCTTCTTTCTGGCTAACCGTTTCAACAAATACAGCTGTATGTACGTCGTTTTCGCATCCGTGTCGACTTAGCCCGTTTGCGAAAACACACATATATTTTGTAAGCTAATGTATGTGGTGATTATTACCAATGATTATGATCAATTAAAAAAACAAACACAAAGACGATAATATTTTCGCTGTTATCTTGCATGAGAAATGATCTTGATTTTATATATTTTGTTTTAAAAATATTGAATATTTCTATGTAATGCCATTAAATCAACTTAAACATTATTGACTGGCACAACAGCAAACACACAGCCCCAAAAATGTCGATCTTGGTGGCGAAGCACTGCCTCATACCATACATATTATTCATAACTTCGAAACAGAAACAGTCGCGATAGAATATATGCAAATTCTCTATGAACTCTCTCCAGAATTAACGTTGTTCAGATTGTAATTGTTTGTTTTTCAACGCCGCACTCAGCAATATTCAAGCTGTATGACGACGGTCTGTAAATAATCGAGTCTGGACCAGACAATTCATTGATTTACATCATGAGCATCGATCCACGCCTTTGGGATACGATGACATGCATCAACCAAGTCAGCGAGCCTGACCACCCGATCCCATTAGTCGCTTCTTACGACAAGCATATCCTGACCCACTGGTGGTACCAATCACTAACACCTGTAAAGATATTTCAGCTATATGACAAGCATGAGTTGCTGAAGACCAATACTAACCGGGTCTTCACGGGGAAGAAATGCAAATAGAATAGATAGTAATAACGTCATGTAATCTTGATGACCATACCAGCTACATTATTTAAGGATTAACCAGTTCAGAAATAACTTACAATAAATATGTGTACAGTTACCTGCTTCCTTTAAACAGCTTAATGAATATTTACTATTAAATACTATATTCAGTGGAACTTTACCATATTTCATTGATACCATTTTCGTACAATTTCAGATGCAAGATCATCGAAAAGTCTTAATTATCCTATGTGGGGCCTTCGTGGTTACATGCTTCATGTACCTTTTCGCGTTGCCATCATATACCGGAAGTCACGGTTTTGTTTCTCCCCTTGATGAAGGAGTGCGTCAATTTTCATCTCTGAAGGCACACACGTGGGAGGATACCTTGATTGGGAAAATGACATCAGGATCAGACAGGGTTAAGAGTAACTCCTACACAATCTTACAACATGCTTCATCTCGGCTTGTCTTCAATGAAGCCATTACAAAGTACTGGAATCCAATAGATGGGGTCAATATGGATCTCCCATTCAAATACAAGTCCTTGACAAATTACACTGTAAATGGAACAAAGCTTATTGTATTTGATAATTGTCCTGACTGGTTGCGCTCATCACTTAAAGGTAAGATGAAGCTATGCAAATACAGCAACTGTTTGTTGTCAGAGAATCGCTCAATGATTGCAGAGGCAGACGCAGTCCTCTTCAATGGCAAATCGATAACCCCGACACCCCCAACCCGCACCCCGGGACAAGTGTGGGTAATATTCGCTTGGGAGAGTCCTGCTAACCTTGCACACACAATGACCACAATGCACATACTGAAATGGAGAAGAGTATTAAATTGGACTATGACATACAGAACAGACTCCGACCTCTTCGCGCCCGTGGGGATGTTTGTACCGACTCTGAAACTCCCCTCGTATCATCATCTTCTGAATATCGTGCAACGCAAGACGAAGGCAGTTGCTTGGTTTGTTAGCCATTGTAAAACAGCTTCAAGACGAATGGCATATGTCGAAAGGCTAAAGAAAATCATTGACGTTGACGTATTTGGACGTTGTGGGCCTGAGGAATGTTTAAAATCTAGTCCAGAATGCATAAACATGCTGAACCATACCTACATGTTTTATTTGTCGTTTGAGAACTCCTTGTGTAAAGACTACATCACGGAGAAGCTGTACAAGACATTCAACGTGCCCTGCGTCCCGATAGTCCGGGGCGGGGCCGACTACAAACACCTAGTACCCAATGGGACGTACATCGATGCAGCTGATTTCTCCAACCCGGAGTCTCTGGGCTGGCATCTCAAGGGTCTTATGTCTAACACGTCTGCTTACATGGACATACTCATGAGGAAGGAACAGTACAGGGTTTTCATGTCATCTCATGGGAAGCATATGGCATTTTGTGAACTTTGTTATCGACTTAATAACCCAGGTACTCTGTGGGACACACAGACAGATGTAGAGAAATGGAAAGAAGAATGCCATGCACCAAGAGATCTTGGCTAGGTGAGACCAAAAGGCTTAATGTTCGAATAATAAATTTACAGATTAATTAAAATACAGTGATTGTTGTAGGCCTTGAAGAGGCATGAGTATCGCAGGGACGGGGAAACAACTTTGTTTTCAATTGAAGCAACAAGTACCAGTGGTTGACGCCACCACAACAAAATGAGTACGTGGGTTCGAACCAATGTGCTTTTGGGTTATCATCCTTGGTCAGTGGATGCAATAATCCCGATCATAAGGGATACACCTCTTTGTCAATTAACGTGCATAAGTCTTAAAATTAAGAGAGCATGTTTTGATATTACTGGTCCACTTTTCAAAACGTTGATACTCTCACATTCACTCTGAAGATTGAGATCTTCTGTAACGACCCAGTTTGTGATTATAAACAGATGTTCAACAAACAACATACATCTCAATATCTAACTATACACAAATAAAATAGTTGAGGACCTCCTGTATATTTTACAATGACTGGTTGTACGAGCGTTGGCATTTAAACCCAAACAACAATAAGCTCGGAAAAACTAATGTTGTTTCATGAAGACACCTCTGACAATAAGAAAACATAAAAAGTTTATCCTGTTTTTCAATTTTAATCATTATCTCAAAAAAAACTCAGAGGCACTGTATTTGTGCAAAACAGGAGCCACAAAAAATATGTAGGTAAAGAATCAGGAACACAATTCCACAACATGATTCATGATGAAAAATGTAATTTTCAGTCCAAGATTACATTCATGACACAAATCATTGATAGAGGGAAACCCGCAATGTGCCCGAATGACAGCTTGCAGCCTTCGTCTCCTACCTCGAGTATGTCGTCTGATCTGTGGAAGAGGCAACTGCAGCCATTCTCCAATGAAAGCTGCCTCCCATCGGGCCAGAGCGTGTACCGATGGGTCCAGTGCCTGTACTCGACGCCCCAAAATGTCCTAAATATGCTATTGTGCTTAGGTGCAGGTGTTGCCACATCGGCATTCTGGAGAAAAGCCATTACTGCTCCGGAAATGTGGTCGGGTGACGAGTGGGTGGTTGTCGAAATAGCGTACAACAAATGATTGAAGGACGTTACGAATGTACCGATCATCATTGAGATTTCCTTGAATCCACCTTATGCGTCACAGGCAACCCCAAACCATAACGGAACCTCCACCATACGGTGTCGTAGGTTTTATGTTCCTGGGTGTGTAGGCCATATTTTATCCCTCCAAACCCTTAATCGGCCATCCGTGACGTGGGGAAGGAACCTCCTTTCATTAGACCAATGGACTCTTCGCCAAGTCCTCAGATTCCTAGCTCTCCGGGCCAAACACCATATTAAACGAATTTTCCGATGATGATCGGCAAGGAAGGGACGCTTGATAACCCTTCTGGACTTTATACCCGCCGATTTCAGTCGATTCCTCAATGTTCTGGTTGACATCCGTCTATTGGGTAACCATTGGCGTTTCAGAACAGAAGATGTTGCAAATGGTTGACGACGTACACGCTGAAGCAGGGCTATGTCTTCACGCCTTGACGCCATGCGAGGTCTTCCTGGGCGTAGGAGATCCTGTACAGCATTGGTGTGGCCGTGTGTTCGTATCAGTCTGATGATTATGATATAATGATATCCTTATTGGCGTGACATGCGTCTATCTCTCGCTTCCGTGGGATAAACATTTGAACGGAAGAGGCGTTGCACAGTACGTTGAAAGCACTGCTGTATTATTTCAACCATATATTAGACATCCCGGAATGTTCGTTTGTTCAGTTTTCAAAATTTTAATCGAGAAGTTTGTCAACATATGTTTCAAGCGTAGTCTGAAATGGAAGTCGCCAGGTTGAAACGAATGACGTAAAGCTCGAGAAAGCTGCTTTCTAATTAACTGATGTCGACTTCTTGTTAGTCGTTTCAGTGGTCGGTCAAAGTTCGCGAAGGGTCGTTCTGACGTGGCCCGTAATGGGATGTCCTCAGATCATTGTTTAGCGATAGCGAGAACTGAGATCTGATTTCAATGAGATTGACAGAACACCATTCTTGACATATTCAACACGAAACCTGCAGTAGTTACGAATGGGGATATTTCAGTATAACTTAGTTCCAGGTGTTCTTTGCTTGTTTCTTTGTGTATAGATAGATCTTGGATGATTAATGTTGTCTAATGCAATAGAACTAAGTTGTAGGCCTATACATACGCTATTAAGCACGTCCGTTTAAATTACATTACTTCCATTCTGGAAAATGTGCCTACAATATTACAACTTTGAAACAGAAAGTCAAATGTACCTAGATGCTCTTAAACAAAGTTACAATAAGCACTACAAACCGAACGAGCTCGAGTACCAGTGGCTAAAGCGAACAACGAGTAAAGTGTGTGAAGCCCATTTCTGGCGTCCCTGGCCTTATATAACTTACTTGAATACGTTATGAGCCGTAAAACCATATCCACTGACTACGAATTGAAAGCATGTGTTGTACGTTACTGTAGCATACTGTAAATACAGCCTGAATTATACTATTTGCAAGTCTTTCAAAGTGTGAATGACCATGACCAGTGTAAAAGTGAACTAAAAGTGAAATAAAATGAAGTATCCCACATTTTGGCAAGTTTCTCGTGACCTTGACCTTCATTGGAGGTTATCGACAATCTTCTCAAAAAGATACCGGTACAGTTCCGCCCCTCTCGAAATAAACTCTCCCCCACCCTACGAAATAAAATCTCCCCCCAGAATATTTCCTCCCCCGGTCGTTTTATAAATACTTGCCATGCAGTTGCCAATAGTTTTAATGTTAATTTGTTTATGTGTTTTTTTATTCATTTTTTTATTATCTCCTTTATTTTTTTCTGAATTATACATTTAGTTACTTGTGTGGGGTGTGGGGTGTGTGGTGGGGGGTAGGGGGTGTCCCACCTTTCCTTTCGTTTTTCATAATAATATATTTTTAAGTTGTATATAACGTATGAATCCCTTCTCAGATTTGCGCGGTTCCACCAACCGTTCAAGATAACTAATACTCTCTGTCAATGCGTTCAACGTGTAAATGCATTTCATACCTGATATACTGACATGGTCCCAGCTGGCAAACAAGACTTCTAAGAGCTTACTGTTTCGGAATAACTTCATCTATTCATCGGAGGCAACAGACTTTTGCAAACAATTGCAAACACTGATTTTCAGTGATCCATTCATATATTTGTACCGCTATTGTCAACGTTTACGCCAAAAGGAAATTTTTCGTTTGAAAATCGAACTTGGCTATTCTCTAGCATTGATGTTTCACATTTCTATGGTTGTTTACGTTATGAGTATTGGTTGATAACAACATCTGGTGTCACATGACACAAAATAATATGTGTATGCCTGAAGTAGATAATATTTTATTCAGGAAATAATAGCTAGAATTGGTTACCCGAACAGACTAAATGGTTATATTTCCCTTTAATATAACAGTGTTTCAACACACAAAAATGTTAAACAAACACACGTTTGTGTTTACCGTTATACTTGCCCATGTAGCCGTCGTATACATGTAAATATATAAATGTTGTGTACAGTCATGGGTGGAATTGAATACAATATTGAAATAAGGAACGTGTTCATGAGGCGAGACATTTCAAAACAATATACAATCTAAAGTGTTGAATATCTTCTTTGGTTGACTACAAACTACAGTTTTTACACGTGCACATACCTTAGCTACATCATAAATAATATATATTTCATATTTTTTTGTTATCTATAAATACCCACATCTAAAATCAACCAACATCCCAGAAATACAATTTCACGTAGTTAAAATTATAAATCTACTCAATAGAATACAAATGGATCCCAGAACGATGCTTGATTTCAGGACCGGAACTTAGGCAATCTAGACTTGTCAAATCATTCTTTACTTGGAGTCCGTTTCAAATATATTCTCTAGGATCTGGGGACAGATAGAGTAACACATAGTCAATGAAAACATTTCTTTAAAATATATTTTTTTTATTCGGAAGAACATTTCTCCTTCTGCTGTTATGGAATCAACTAAACTAGACTTGGTTAGTATGATCTAGACTTGCCTAGGAATTTAGTAAAACAGAATACCTAAAAAATATAAATTCCACAGTCATGGCGCAGGACCAGGCCTAGGAGACAGACTACCGCGTGAGTATTGCATTGAGAACTGACGGAATCCCGCTAGGGTCAGCCTGGGCCAAGTGTAATCGGATATGTTGCTAGGTCTCGAGTTTGAACTGTTGGCATAATAGAACAAGCTTGGGCACAGTGGTGCAACAAAGGGGTTAGTTTTCTTCCGGGATTGTTAATGTAGAGATTAAAGCATTATCAACGCACAATTTGTCTGTTTTAAAAAGAAAATGTGCTGTTGTGATTTCATATTCATAATAATGCTATGCTGTACCAGTACATGGATATTACTTGCTTGTACTCGAGGTACATTGATAACGTATGCTTGTAAAGGCTGGCATGGGACTCGGTGTAGCCGGTGTTGGTTTACTATCAACTATAATCACCACGCCTATCGTACTTGACATGGAAATAGCCGCTGGAGTCTCTGGACTGGCAGGAATAGCGATAAAATTTATTTCTCGTAAGTTGCCAAAGAAAGCATTAAAACATGATAATATTCGGATACTCGCCGAATGAGTGAGTGAGTTGGGTTTAACGCCGCTTTTAACAGTATTCCAGTTACATCACGGCGTGTCAGCTTAATGTGGGAGGAAAGCCCGAAGTGATGCAGGTCTCAGACGTTTAGCACTTCGGTGAAACCCACGGGCAGGGGTATGGTGCTGACAAACCTAGAAACATAATGGGGGCGAAGCGGGATTCGAACCCACAATCATAGGTTTCTGGCGTGCCCAAGGGACGCAACTCTGAACAGCGAATCGCGGCGCCTTAGACGACTGGGCCACCCGTGCCCCCGATACTCGCCGAAGCAAAGTTGAACAGCATTGAGGATCATATTTCAACAGCACTGGCTGATTGTAAGATATCCGAGGAGGATTTTCGTTCAGTGTTGTCAGAACTCACCAAATACAACACAATAAAGCAGGAGATTCGATCTTAATATCGTAAGATCAGTAGTATTAGCGAAGACGAGAAAAAAAGTACATAGAACAGGGGACACAAGCGCGTCAATTATTCCGTGCCAAAACCAAAGAACTGGTTGGAGATTAAAAATAGATTGTTTCCTATCATTGGATCGCACCGCATAACAAATCATACATTCATTTAAACGAATGCTTACATAAATATATAATATAGGAGAATTACAAACCAACAAAGGAAGAACTCGAAAAAGGTATCGAAGCATTTATGCGCAGGGACAAAATTATCAAATGGAGAGAATTACCACAAGGTATATATTATATCAATGATGTCAGACCAACCAAATACGGTCATCAATTGTTTCTTTCCAATTACCAAGAAGAGTATATAGTCTGGTCTCCTAGTAAAATGAACGAAGAACTTAGTAAAAATGTTGAATATCACTTTGTTAAAATATTATGGTATGCGTATGAGTAAAAATAATAGAGAATATTTTCATTACAATTTAGTTTAGTCTCATCATCGTTTTTGTGCTAAAAATTCCCTCTATGGTATCATTGATTGACTCAAGGTAGTGGTGAGCTAGAGTCAATTTAACTTAATCTCATGACGATCGTTGAATCGCATCAGCGTTTACACGTAAAAAAATCCCCCTGTAGTAGCAGTATAGGTATATAAATCTGGCTCCAGTGGGGTTGCGGCAGAATCACCATTACCTATACTACTTTCTATGACGTTCCTGGTAAGAGCTGAACATTTAATATTGGAAAAAGGCTCAGGGTAGATGAAATGGAAATTTGCAATAACATATTGTGTGATGCATAAATTGGGAGTACAAGTTAGTGAACAAATTCAATTAAACGAGTCACAGCACGACTGTATGTGTTCATGTTTCAACGCCATCATCACTGTTCGTGTGATGATTAACCGATCATTATTGACTTATAACACTGACTATTGGGCAATCTTTTTGTTCCAAAGGGAAATAACTCTCCTTTTGAAATGATATAAGCGACGGTCCAAACTGTCACTTCCGGTTTGGTTCCCGGATCAATGCGCGCTGCGACAACTACACTCTCCAACCCAGAGTTCCATGCGGCCTGTGTCATTTATACCGGTACAGTTCCGCCCCTCTCGAAATAAATTCTCCCCCACCCTACGAAATAAAATCTCCCCCCAGAATATTTCCTCCCCCGGTCGTTTTATAAATACTTGCCATGCAGTTCAATAGTTGCCAAACACTTCTGATAGAGACGATGTTGAGAATGTGGAGTGAAAAGGGCTTCACTTTGAGCACTGTGTTTTCTTTACTACCGCAATATGAGACAATAAAGTGGTATATAGGTGGATATAATATTAGTCGTTAGATATAAAGAATGTTTAGTAACTTAAGAAGTTCTAGGACAGTTATTAACACATGTCGTGTCAGCCCTATTACATTCGCGATTGTCCACTTCCAGAAAACATCCTGTGTTGGTTTAACATGAATTAGTAAATGTTAATTAGGGATGCCCATAACGTTAATTAATGAAAGACGAGTAGTCAAAACACTGTCATTTCCTGCCCAGGACATCACACCCCTACACGCTAAGGTCGGTGAAAAAACATTCTCATAAAAAAAAACACACACAGTCGGTAACCTCCCAAAACCCCTACATCCCATTTCCCCTACAGCTTAAGACAACAAAGTTCACGGTCCATGGCACTGCTAATCCCTAGTCT